AGAGAGAGAGAGAGAGAGAGAGAGAGAGAGAGAGAGAGAGAGAGAGAGAGAATTACTGACAGTCACAAATGTGGTATAAGAATGTCAAACAAAACCAAAAAAGATCAACGGAGGAATGAAAATGTTCAAAATTAAACAAATTATTAATTAGGCCTAGAATCTAGATCTAGATTTAGATCTAGATATCTAGATCTAGATCTAGACTAGAGAACTGGGCGTATTGTTCTGAAACAGACACCCTACGCCCTACGTTATAAAATCATTTAAAAACGTTTAAAGTGTAGATTTACAGGCCAAGAGCCAAGAGCATAAAAATCGAGTGTGTCCTATTTGCACATGTGGAAATGTCCTTTCCCTTGATATTTTTATCTTGGCCAAGGCCAAGCATAGGCCCTATCTTATCTACGACTACGACAGTCTCACGGTGAAACCTCTGCTTGGTGCAAAATGCAAGTCTGTGTGCGAAGACAATAAATCATCCACTTACTTGTCGAATGTTGTATTTCACGAAGAATCCGGCTTGCACCCTTTCGCAGCATCGTGAAAGTTCACAGCTTATGTCACTCTCTTCCACTTCCAAACCAGAAGAAACTAGCCTAACTGAGCTCGCCTGTTATTTCGTACTAGCTTTGGGACAGACGACCTGAAAGCAACCACTCATTAATCAGAGTCAGCGCCAGCACAGGACCTGAGGGTGTTGTAAGCACGACTAAGCAAGATCCAACTTCCCTCTCGAGGAAGCGACCTCAACAAGGCTGCTGAATCTGTCAACAATCTAGGTCAAGAGTCGAAGGTGAAAGGTCAATTACGGTGCTCGCTTGCCATAGACAACCGACTTGTATTTTCACTTCTCGCTTCTCACAAATTTGCCTCCAGATCTAACGAGGCAAGCCAGGGCTTTGTCGTTCTCACACTAATTGCGCACGGGAGAGAGTGGCTCTCGATTCTCGCGCGAGAGGTCGAGTTGGTGCTGAAATATCGACGTTTTGGGGGATTTCAAGAAAAAAAATCAGAGTATTCATGGCTAGATTACAAAAATTAATATTGGACAAGACTAGTCTGTCTTAGATCTACCAAAGCCTAGACGAAAACCCAAGCCCGAACCCTCGAAATTGGCAGAATATAATATATAAGCCTAGATCTAGCTCTAGATCTATATTATATGGTACATGTATACTAAAATAGACGTGCGGGTCTTCAATGACAAATTTTTTTCTGACTAGACGCCACTGCGAAACAATCCCATGACAATAATGTGTTCAGTAGGCTTTAACTTTAACTACCCGTCGTGTTTTCACCGAGAAAAAAATGCATAGACCTATGCTGTTGTATTCTTTGCCTAAGATCCCGCCTCCGCAATTACGATCTCGGTTCGCTTAAAACCCCGTGCTATTTTAATATATGTTTACTAAATAAAAGTCACCCCTAACATATACACCGCTCAGAAGGACTACATTCGGCTAATTCGGCTAATGTCCACACTTCAGATCATGATTTACGGAACAAAATCCTGGGCGGGCACAGCTGATCAACCAAGCAGTGAAAATTGGCGATCATTGAACTGCCCGTTGCGTCACAGATCAGCCACTCATAAGTGCTTTTGTTTCCCTGTCCTTGAAGCGTTGTCTCTACAACCGAATTTGATAGACAGGTTGAATTTTAATTGGTGCTGTTTAAACGCTATATAGGTGCGTTGAGAGTAAAAAATTCAAAGGCGAAAAGCTATGAATTTTGGACTGGTAACGGGAAGGAGTTAGGATCGGTATAGATCTAGAACTTGAGACTCCATCGTGATTAGGTAAAAAAAAAAAAAAAAAAAAAGAATGGGGTGCCTATGCCTTATGCCATTGTAATAAGCCTAATAGGTCATCACGGATAATCACTGGACGTTTGCTGGCCGAAACTACCCAGGGGTCACATGGGTTCACTTCAGAGTAAAAGGAGACCATTTCTTCACCGATTGCAGGCCTGAACATGAGCCACATTGGATTCTCCCTTTGGTGCGCCGGCTGTTCACGTAAGATCCCGCATTTCTCTTGTTCCCAATCACTGGGATCTTAGGCGGAGACCACTGCATAGTATACAAACCATAAACGCACTATTGTGATTCTTCCAAAAGTTACATTTTTAGAGGGTGAGCTCTACAATAATTATGATTTCTCAAACTTCTTCTTTTCAATCTTTACGAATCGTTGACTGCTTGTTAATAACTACATGTATGTGGTATTTCTAATTTCAGTTGAGTTTTATGGCGCTCGCAACTCCATAAGGTCATGAGAGTGCCTTGGACTCAGTTTGGTTGTTTTCACGTGGGACATAAAAGGCTAGTTCACAGCATAACCTGATTTTCTTGACGAGGTCGGAATGGATGAAGTATTTAAAAGTACATCGAATATTGTGTTTGTTGTTTGTTTTCGTTTTTCAAATTCAGTTTGGAATACAGCAATTTTCATTTCAAATTTACTAACACATCCTAATTTCACACGCGGATCTAGTTGTGTCTGCAGAATAACAAATAGTGCTTTTGAAAGGTTTTAGACTTTTTTTGGTATTGTCCTGCCATGTGATACTAAGAATTTCCCTGAGGCATTTCATATTACGGAAATGATTAAACTTCTTTTGGCACAAGGTCCAGGTCTCATCACGGCAGGCAGGATTGGACGGAAAAAAGCACTTTGGACTTTCTCAGTCTCTGCGCGAATGCCACATAATACTCCTAAAACTTTGCTCTGTCTTCCAAACAACGCGCCAGCTTTATTTAAACGCGTATAGCTAGCATCTGCGTTTGTCGCGAATCGCGGCCAGGATTTTTGCCTCCTCCCCCCCCCCCCAAAAAAAAAAAAAAAAACCAACAAAACAACAACAATTTTTTAAGAAAGAAAAAGCAACACAAAAAACACCGCTCGGGAATAAAAAATCGAAAAACAAACCCCAGGGAATAAAAATCGAGAAACAAAAAATGAAAACATACGAAAAAAAACCCCCAAAATTAAAGAAACCGAACCTCATTAACTTTACTTTAAAAAAGAAAAATTAGAAAGTTCACTTTCACTTCACTTCGTCTCTTTCTCACTTGTTGACACCACGTTGATTTGTTATTTTTATATTTTCAATGAAATTTCATGTGAAGAAATGAGTACATTACATGACATACTATTTATGTGTTGCTGTTTCCCTTTAATTTGTCCCTCTTTATTGTGTTTCAATTTTCCTTACTATCGTTCTGATGTGTTCTTTTTACTGTTTTTGATGTTTATATATGTTTTAGCGTATGTCATTTAATTTGATTTTGTTCCCACCTTTTTTTAACTCTACCAAAACTAAATACCGACACTGGCAGGCCCCTTGTGTGTGATTCCATAATTTAAATGCAAGTAATATCCTGTACTCTTTCTTAAATTACACACGTTTAGTGTTAAAACGGCCAATCTTCGGAAAGGTTAACACACGTCTTTATTTGTTAATTTTTGTGGTTGTTTTTGTGCTGTTCTAATTTTGATTTCATTCTGTTGTGAAACCTTTATTTTTCACGTTTAACATCCTGTTTGACTACAAAGGATATTCTGGTTGCTTGAAACAGAACACAATAAAATCTGGTGCTTTAGATTAAGTTACCTCTATCAACAATTGCTATATTATAATACGTCGTCACAGATACATGTAGTTGAAAGCTTGAAAATTAATGGCAACTTTTTGGGCAAGTTTTGCCATTTTTGAGACAACTTTTGGCAACTTTTGGACAAAAAATTGGCAACAAACGCAGATGCTAGGTATAGCTATTTCTGCGTCGATGCGGGCATTTGAGGACAGTAAAAGAAACTTGTCAAGAAGAAGCTGTCGGTATTGTTCAGTGATGTGTGATGCATTAAAATTTTGATACCAGGAGAGAGGTCTTCGTATCACCATGATCGACAGTATGGAAGGGAACGTTTGTCTTTGCTGCTCTCATTGTGAGAGTCCGAAGTTCTCACGATATTGACCGAATAAGATAAGATATTCAGTGTATAGTATTCTAATTTTTGTCGCCTTTTCTAAACCTGATCTCAGACGACGAAGTCATTTTGTTACTCTTGCAGGCCTGTGTATTGTGTATAGTAAAGTTGTAGACTGCGATCTTCTTCCTTCCATTTCTATTCTTCAGTACGGTACCACACAAAAGATTTGCATACATTGTGTCTAAAGCCTTGTCGGAAAGACAAGATGACGTTAGCCTAATATATTTTGCCTTTTGGTTGGTTTGGATGTTTCAGACAAAAACGTTCTTCAACCCCCC